TTAAGACTAAGACCACAAGATCAAGACTCCTTCTTTGATATAAACTCAATAGTTGTCTTCCTGAGTTGATTGCAAAAAAGAACAATGCTGTCATTTGACTAGAAGACTATTTACCATTCCAGCACCAATGTACAAATACATATTCAACTTCATGTTCATCAGCATTACTGACCTCAGAGACTAGAGTGGACATGAGGGGAACCGTGTACGGTGAATACGGAGGGGTGGGGGAGTGAAATACATTCATAATTAAATCAGAGCTCCACAGTGTTTTAATATAATGCTTAACTGCTGTCCAGGGGGTCTGGGACCACATGAATAAGAGATGGATGAATGGACACATCCAGGGCCTGTCCGGGCAGACCACACAGTGCTGCTGCTCTGCTGCATTTTATATCAGAGGTCCCAGTGGACAGCTAAACCCCTCCATTACCAGACTGAACATGGGAGCATCGTGGAGTACTGTGGATGTTCAGCTTGTACAAGGGAAGATGATAGTTTTTATATCAATTGGTATTATCTTAACATTTCCAAAGAGAACTGAATGTGCTCATTTATTCAGCCTTCACCCACTGACTGACCATGCCTTGGCCCACTGAGGTGCACACTCTTTGGGCTTGACATCCTACTCCAGCCCCTGGCTTCAGAGCCTGGTTCTTACCTGTGGGAGAAGGGCAGTTGGTTCTGAGAAGGCTCGGCACGGGGCTCAGGGGGGTGCTGCGGCGTTTCGGGGGTGGTGCCCCTCTCGTCATCAGTGCCGTTGATGCTCTCCGGGGTCAAAGGTGACTGCAGGTCACCGGTGGCCGACTCCTGACATGATGTAAACAATAAGGTTATTGTAACAGAAATACATATTAACTCTTTTTATATGTTCTCAGGTGCTGAGTAAAGAAAAGACTGATGTCATGTGGAGAGAATACCTGCACAATGAGTTACACTCCACAGAAAGTGATGTTTTTTGTTTCTCTCAAGTGAGTAGGCCTATGTGTTTTCAAGTGAGCTTGTTGTTTTCTCACTTGAAAAAAGAAACATCGCTTTATGGGAGCATATTTGACACTCGGAGATCAGAGTTAATCTGAGACTGAGAAGGGATTAATTAATCTATGTGTTAATCTGACATTAGGATGGGAGAGAGAGGGGTTGTTAATCCACAACGGAGGGCAGGGTTCTCCCCAAAGAGTGGAACAGTGCCATTCAACACCTCAATTCTAGGTTAAATATACAGTATGCTGTATAAACTGTATAATGGACAAAAGCAATTGTAATTTCTGTCCATTTTTCTAAGATACAGCAGTGACAACATTGTGGGGAGACCCCCTGAAGGGCTGGAGTGTGTTAGCCTGGGGTAGTTGGGGATATCAACACTGGACTGGGGTAAGAGGGCGAAGCAGGAGGGTTATCGGACACTGGGGTCAGATGACAATGATTTTGATTCCATTTTACCTTCTTTTTTACAGGTACTCTGAGAGGTACTTTGGGAGGTACTTTGGGAGGTACTGAGAGCACATTCTTTTTTAGTGCAGCGACCTGGGGAAGAGTTGCAGGGGAGAAGAGATGGGTTGAATGAGCCAATTGAAAGCTGGGGATGGTTAGGTGGCCAGGTTGGGAGTTTAGCCAGGACACTGGCGTTAACACACTATAGTCTTGCCATGAGAGTAATGGCTTCAGACACTCCCATTAGGAATTAGTTTAACGTCTCATCCAAGAGTAGTGCTTTTGCAGGTAGTGTTTCCAATCACTTCCTGTGATACCTAAATCACTTGGGGTCCATTCACTCCCCTTGTTTTCTGGTAAAACATGTTAACGTTAGTGGTGGGTTATACAAAAACAACAAGTGCTTTTCAGTCTATACTGGTCCAAAGACTACATTTAATGTGAGGAAACATGTTTTTTTTAATCAATGTGAGTAAGTAGTGTCGGTGAACTATCCCATCTGAGGTAGGGGTGTGCATTGTTGGGATTACCTGAGAGGGGGTGCTGGTGAGTTCCATCTTCTCCTGGGATTTCTCCTTGGCTAACCGGGCCGCCTCCTTAAACTCTGCAAACTTCTCTGCAAACTGAGAAAGAACCACAATGACACAGACAACACTGACTAAATCAGTCTGTGTGTGTATGTATGTGGTGTGTTTGTGAGCTCAAGCGTGGCGATGTGTGTGTGTGTACCTTGAGCAGGTGGTTCTCTGAGGAGAAGCCCAGGCCGTAGACGGTGTTGGCTCGGCTGTCGGCCCACTGGCCAAACTTCTGGGAGGTCTTGGTGAAGGTCATGTTGGGGGTGATGGTGCTGTTGATGATTGCCTGGGGAAGGAGAGAGGAGTTGTATGAGTCACAAAAGCAATGCTGACCCATTTGCCTAAAAGATGAGCGGGCTTGTTGTTTTCTGGACGGTTGCCATCAGCAATGACTAGATATGTGTTATCCATCTGTGTTTGTGTCAGACAAAAAGTGTGTGTGTGTGTGTTTATTGGTGTGTGAGTACGCGTGTGTGTGTGTGTGTGTGCGTGTTACATCCCCATTGATTGGTAAACAGGAAGCTATCAATGAGAGGAGAGGCCCCAGTGAGGCTGATTGACTCTACTGGCATCGACCACAGTGGGAGAGGGAGGGGTGAGGGAGAGAGGAAGGTGGGGTGAGGGAGGGTGGGCGAGGCACACTGTTAGCGCCATGTAAAGTTCTGTGTGTGTAAAGTTGTGTGTGTGTGTGTAAAGTTCTCTGTGTGTGTAAAGTTGTGTGTGTCTATGTAGTTACTTTGGGCTGTGTGGATGTTGATGACGAGTATATCCTAGAGTGACAGGGTAGCAGGCAGGCAGCACCCCACCACAGCACACCCTCTCCCTGCTATTTCCAGCACAGTAACCCCACAGTTGCGTTCACCCATTCGCTAGCCCTACAGCACCAAGGGTCACATACAAAGCAGTGGAGGGCGCAGTGGAGAGAGTGTGTGTTTGTGTGTGTGCGCGCGCGTCTGTGTGTGGAGAGCTTTACATAACGTTGTGGTGCTAAAATAGCTCCTCCTCCCCTGCACCCCTCTGAAGACTAAAATAATCGTTGTTACGACAGAACAGAAGAGGCCACAACGCCCCCATGCCACTACCAACCATGGGCTCTGTTGCTACTGCTGCTACCACTGGCCATGGAAACACACACGCAGGTGGGAAATGTAGTGTGTGTGTGTGTGTGTGTTGAGTGAGACTGCAACTTTCTTCAATCTTTGGTTGTGTCTGTGTCTGTGGGGACGGTCAAATGTTTAAAGTCTGCCTGTGAGGGAAAGAGAGGGAATACAGTACACAAGTACGTATGTGTGTACATCAATCCATGATTGATTCTAACGGATCTATAGTGCTGCGTGCCCAGAGCCTGAGGGAGCCTTCCTGGTGCCACCTCTAATCCTCTGTAGCTCAGCTGGTAGAGCACGGCGCTTGTAACGCCAAGGTAGTGGGTTCGATCCCCGGGACCACCCATACACAAAAATGTATGCACGCATGACTAAGTCGCTTTGGATAAAAGCATCTGCTAAATGGCATATTATTATTATTATTATTATTATTATTATTAATCCCCTTGCTGAGGGGGGAACCATGCCTTCAGAAAGTATTCATACCCATTTGACTTCTTGCACATTTTGTTGTGTTACAGCCTGAATTCAAAATTGATTAAATTGATTTTTCCCCCTCTCACCCATCTACACACAATACCCTATAACAACAAAGTGAAAACATGTTTTAGAAATATTTGCTAATATTTATTGAAAATGAAATACAGAAATCTCATTTACATAAGTATTCACACCACTTTGGCAGCGATTACAGCTGTGAGTCTTTCTGGGTAAGTCTCTAAGAGCTTTCCACACCTGGATTGTGCAATATTTGCCCATTATTCTTTTCAAGATTCTTCATGCTCTGTCAAATTGGTTGTTGATCATTGCTAGACAACAATTTTCAGGCTTGCAAGATTTTCAAGTAGATTTAATTCAAAACTGTAACTCAGCCACTCAGGAACATTACCTGTCTTCTTGGTATGCAACTCCAGTGTAGATTTAGGGCAGCAGGTAGCCTAGCGGTTACGAGCATTGGGCCAGTAACTGAAAGGTTGCTGGAACAAATCCCTGAGCCAACTAGGAGAAAAATCAGTTGATGTGCCCTTGAGCAAGGCACTCAACCCTAATTGCTCCTGTAAGTCGCTCTGGATAAGAGCATCTACTAAATGATTAGAATGTCCCCCCTAAAAAATGTGGCCTTGTTTTTGGTGAAATCCCTGAGTGGTTTCCTTCCTCTCTGGCAACTGAGTTAGGAAGGACGCCTGTATCTTTGTAGTGACTGAGTGTATTGACACACCATCCAAAGTGTAAGTAGTAACTTCACCATGCTCAAAGGGAAATTCAATATCTGCTTTTTTTTTGCCATCTACCAATAGGTGCCCTTCTTTGTGATGCATTGGAAAACCTCCCTGGTCTTTATGGTTGAATCTGTGTTTGAAATTCACTTCTCAACTGAGGGACCTTACCGATAATTGTATGTGTGGGGTACATAGATGAGGTAGTCATTTAAAAATCATGTTAAACACCATCATGCAACATATTGTCTTGTTAAGCCACATTTTACTCCTGAACTTATTTAGGCTTGCCATAACAAAGGGGTTGAATACATTTACATTACATTTTAGTCATTTAGCAGACGCTCTTATCCAGAGCGACTTACAGTTAGTGAATACATTTTATTATTTTTTATATTAGCCCCCCGTGGGAATCGAACCCACAACCCTGGCGTTGCAAACACCATGCTCTATCAACTGAGCTACATCCCTGCCGGCCATTCCCTCCCCTACCCTGGACGACGCTGGGCCAATTGTGCGCCGCCCATGAGTCTCCCGGTCGCGGCCGGCTGCGACAGAGCCTGGATTCGAACCAGGATCTCTAGTGGCACAGTTAGCACTGCGATGCAGTGCCTTAGACCACTGCGCCACTCAGGAGGTGAATACTTATTGACTCAATACATTTCAGCTTTTTATTTGTAATTAATTGGTAAACATTCTGAAAAACATAATTCCACTAGCATCATTTTTAATTCAGGCTGTAATACAACAAAATGTGGAAAATGTCAAGGGGTGTGAATATTTTCTGAAGACATTGTATATCTTCCTCTAATATCTTCCCTCTCCTTTTATACAACTTTGCTGCACACACACGCACACACACACACACCTTGGAGCCGTCCAGACTGATGATGCGGTAGACGTTGCGCGTGCTGTCGTAGAAGTAGGAGACTGTGACTGCGTGTTTACTGGTGGGAACCCAGTTCTTCTTGGTGGTGGGGTCGATCTGGAAGACATGGGCCCTCGTACTGAAGATAGGCTGCTCTCTGTAGGGGAGACAAGCAGAGAGAGGGGGGAGTCAGTATATACATAGGAATTAAACTCACCACCCTGTTGTTGGTTCGTACAGCTGCGCCATGGGAAACAAAAGTGCTGGGAGTGTGTGAGGGCTGAGGTAGGAGTGTGGAGTGTGTGTGGTAGGTGAGACACACACACACAGCCCCTCAGAGATCGCTACACACATCCTGCAGCGCACTGCACTGGCAATGACTGGGAGGGGAAAACACACACACCCACACACACTTCAGTTGCAGTATTTGTATGTTATCTCTTCAATCCAGGTGGAGCTCCATTAACAATAACAAGGGGTTTTAATACCAGTACGAAAGAGAAACATTACTTAGCCACAGACAGAAATCGCTTACTAGAAATGAATGGATGTAATGTTGAGGTTAATCAAATTGACTGGCTGGGTACATTAAGGTACTAAAACAGGAGCAACAGGGATAAATGATTTTCTACTAGTCCATTAATTAATTAATTACAGTTAAAGTGCCTTTGCTAAGACAATAGAGAGGTTGTTCATTAAATATGATGCATCCCTAGCACAGTGCCGTTTAAACTGTTATGGCTGCCTAATAAATATAATAAAATATTTAAGTATAAGGAACTGGTTCTTCTGACACAATGTAGAGGTAGGTAGCATTAAAGCATCCAACCTATGGTCCTTGGGAGATAAGAGGAGAGTGGTGATATTAGTCTGACGACTCACTACATTTTTGTATTTCTTCCGCTGCTCTATCATTCGCTTTAAACTTTAGTCTGAGACAGCCATCACTGAAGTCGTTTCTGGTGACGAGGGGCACGAGGGGTGTTTTACAAAACAAAGTCATCAGCGATTGGATCGTCTCTAACCAATCAGTGTATAAAAGACAATGATTAATTTTCAAACCGCCACTTTACCCAACGTACTGTATGTTCTGGCTCTGGCCCAACCTATCAGTTTCTGGACCAAATCAGACGGCCCCGAATGTGTTCACATTCAGTGAAGGGTCGGGGAGGTACTCAGATCCAGACTCGTTGCGGGAAAGAAACTAACGTCTGTGGGCGTGGCATAGCGTTTGGCAGGAGCAAGGAGTCTGGGTAGCCAGGCAACGGCGATATAGGATTGAAAAAAGAAAATGGGATAAAATAATGAGAGGAACTGATAAAATAAGGGCTGGAGGAGAGGATGGGAGAGAGAAAGAGCATGTGTGTGAGAGTGAGAGAGTGCGAGAGAATGAGCTGGATAAAAGTGAGTCTAACTTGAACCGTCCTGCCTGTGTGTGTGTGTGTGTGTGTGTGTGTGTGTGTGTGTTTTAAAAGCTGCCATAGGAAGGACAGATATGCTAATTTCCCGCCACAGAGCTGAACAATGAGAGCCCACACAAATCACTCCTCCATCACCACACCTCCCATTATATCACACACAGGAGTTAGGGGGAAATAGGAACAATAAGGTATGAAAGCTGCTCACTGATTCTGCAATAGTTAAAAGGAAAGTGGAACTTTTACACAGGGAAAGGACACAATACAGAATACAGTCCGTTAACGGGTCTCCTATGGCAGTGTTAGCCCATGAGCTAAAGCCTAGGCATTAGGCCTGGGCGCTAATGCAAGTCCTCAGGACTCAGGCAAGGTTACTAATCATGCAAGCACGGTTTACCAAACCAACTATGTTACATATCTCCCAAGCGAATTAGTGAACGTGGTTATACCAACAGTCCAGCAGGGGGCAGATGTCCATGAGAGTCAAGCTGCAGTATCAGTAACTATGCTGTGCTGTGATGTAATAGATTAGCCAAAGGTGACCTGGGAGTACCTGGGCTGGGCCCACATACACAGATCAGACAACTGGCCTGGCCCTGTGGCCCTGGTCAGCTTCCAAACATAACATAACTATGGAGGAAAGCAGCTCTCAGGTAAGGTCTTGGATTAAAGACATCGTATAGCAAGCTAATGGCATAGCAAGCTGCATATCTCTGGCTGGGACTGACTAGGCTAGAAGCCTCTTCACATAATCCACAGCAAGTGGTGGGTAGAAGTCTTCCAGTCGGGAATTTGCTAAGTCTCATATTTCCTAAATACAGTTGAAGTCGGAAGTTTACATACACTTATGTTGGAGTCATTAAAACTTGTTTTTCAACCACTCCACAAATTTCTTGTTAACAAACTATCATTTTGGCAAGTCGGTTAGGACATCTACTTTGTGCATGACACAAGTAATTTTTCCAACAATTGTTTACAGACAGATTATTTCACTTATAATTCACTGTATCACAATTCCAGTGGGTCAGAAGTTTACATACACTAAATTGACTGTGCCTTTAAACAGCTTGGAAAATTCCAGAAAATGATGTCATGGCTTTAGAAGCTTCTGATAGGCTAATTGACATCATTTGAGTCAATTGGAGGTGTACCTGTGGATGTATTTCAAGGACTACCTTCAAACTCAGTGCCTCTTTGCTTGACATCATGGGAAAATCAAAAGAAATCAGCCAAGACCTCAGAAAACAAATTGTAGACCTCCACAAGTCTGGTTCATCCTTGGGAGCAATTTCCAAACGCCTGAAGGTACCACGTTCATCTGTACAAACAATAGTACGCAAGTATAAACACCATGGGACCACACAGCCGTCATACCGCTCAGGAAGGAGACGCGTTCTGTCTCCTAGAGATTAACGTACTTTGCGAAAAGTGCAAATCAATCCCAAAACAACAGCAAAGGACCTTGTGAAGATGCTGGAGGAAACAGGTACAAAATTATCTATATCCACAGTAAAACAAGTCCTATATCGACATAACCTGAAAGGCCGCTCAGCAAGGAAGAAGCCACTGCTCCAAAACCGCCATAAAAAAGACAGACTACGGTTTGCAACTGCACATGGGGACGAAGATCGTACTTTTTGGAGAAATGTCCTCTCGTCTGATGAAACAAAAATAGAACTGTTTGGCCATAATGACCATCGTTATGTTTGGAGGAAAAAGGGGGTCGCTTGCAAGCCGAAGAACACCATCCCAACCGTGAAGCACAGGGTTGGCAGCATCATGTTGTGGGGGTGCTTTGCTGCAGGAGGGACTGGTGCACTTCACAAAATAGATGGCATCATGAGGAAGGAAAATTATGTGGATATATTGAAGCAACATCTCAAGACATCAGTCAGGAAGTTAAAGCTTGGTCGCAAATGGGTCTTCCAAATGGACAATGACCCCAAGCATACTTCCAAAGTTGTGGCAAAATGGCTTAAGGACAACAAAGTCAAGGTATACGAGTGGCCATCACAAAGCCCTGACCTCAATCCTATAGAACATATGTGGGCAGAACTGAAAGAGCGTGTGCGAGCAAGGAGGCCTACAAACCTGACTCAGTTACACGAGCTCTGTCAGGAGGAATGGGCCAAAATTCACCCAACTTATTGTGGGAAGCTTGTGGAAGGCTACCCGAAACGTTTGACCCAAGTTATACAATTTAAAGGCAATGCTACCAAATACTAATTGAGTGTATGTAAACTTCTGACCCACTGGGAATTAAAGAAATAAAAGCTGAAATAAATCACTCTCTACTATTATTCTGACATTTCACATTCTTAAAATAAAGTGGTGATCCTAACTGACCTTAAACGGAATTTTTACTAGGATTAAATGTCAGGAATTGTGAGAAGAAAAAAAAAACTTCCAACTTCAACTGTAAGTGTAGGCTTAATATATCAAGAGTGTGATGGAAAGAGAGTGAGAGAGGAGCACACACAGAGAGACAGAGAGACAGAGCGAGAGAGGAGTGATAATTTATCTGTGAGTGACAGTGCCTCAGATAATGTGACCGTACTCTTCGAGACCCCTGTATAAAACTGAACTAGTAAAAAAAAGCTCTGGACATTAAAGAGCACATTGTTGTCATAACTGGTTCTGTTAGGAGACGTAGAGCGCTTACTTAGCTTTTTATGGATCACATTTTATAATGGCAGCAAATTGCCCCTCAATCACAAGCCATTTGAATGTATTCTCCCTGATAGCAGGGCAGTGAGGAGCAGGAGCCCCATTCAGAAAGCATGGATTTAGTACCATTTACACACATTTCCATGTAAAAGGCCCATAAGCACCAAACTGAAGTTCATAGGTGCATGTCAAATTGGTGTCAAACGAAAGCTAAGCGTGTATATATTTTCTTTATTAAGGCATATATACATTTTTCATCCAAAAAATTAGGAATAAGCAAAGGCTTTGATTTCTGGTCAAACAGATGGAAAAGGTGTCTTAGAAAACATCTACCAGAAAAAGTTTTACAAATCAAACACCAAAATTTTTAAATAAAGGCCCCTCCAGGGTTGGGTCAATTCCATTTCAATTCCAGTGAATTCTGGAAGTACAATGAAATTCCAACTCCAATTATCTTCTAATGCTTTTCTATGAAGATAAATTGCTACTTTCTAAACCGACTGGAATTTAAATGGAATTGACCCCAACCCTGCTTTCAACTAACACTTCTATTTAATTTTGGATAAATTATTTGCCTTCTGTAAGTTTAAGAAACATTGCATTGTGCTTTGAAATTCTGTTACCAAAAACCCACATATCTTTAAGATATTTTCAAATTTCTCTCCCACATAGTGTGTAGAATAATACCCAAATATGCAAAGGAGGATATTGCATATTTATACCTTTGTGTACATATTTAGGATACATCACCATGAAGAGAATGACTTTCATATCCATAATTATGAATTTCTGTGTAGTACAGATCAGGGACCCATGTTGAAATTCCATTACTGCAATTTCCCTTACCAGGTGTAAATCCACTTCACCTACTGTAGTTCAATAACCTAAATAGATTTTTTCAAAGTCACTGTGTCATGTCATAGCTGACACCATTCTTTCTGCAGACATCGTTGAATCTTAATTCAGAACAGATATTTAAGAGTTTTTGGAAAATGTGGACACACAAAAAAAAACTGAGGGAGATTTAACCAAAATACTGTTACCAAAATGTGCATCTGCACAGTTCTTCCAGTGAATGTGTTTTTGTAAAATCTTCAGTGTACATTTTTAAAAGTAGTCGTTGTGCATAGAGCTGTATGGTTTGTTAAACTTTGAAATTAAGGTTTTTGGTTTGGCATTCACTACCGTTCAAAAGTTTGGGGTCACTTAGAAATGTCCTTGTTTTCAAAAGAAAAGCAATTTTATTGTCCATTAAAATAACACCAAATT